TCGCGCTCGGATTTTTCCGTCTCATCGCCTCAGGATCGTTTTTCACCCACCGCTCGGTTTCAACATTTGATCGCGTCCCCTTTCAACTGACCGATGAACTTTTTTCTTACGGAATAATATCGCCGGAAAATGAGCGCGGGAAAGCGGTGGCTCTTTTGCGACTGGAGGGAAGAGGGCGCGGGGCGAGCGCCTCGAGGCACACCGGATGCTGCGCGTCGGCGAGGGCGGCGGGGGTCGGGGCGCCGGGACCCGCCCCAAACGCCTCGCCCCCCGCATCACCCTGCTCCTCCTCGTCTTCCTCCTCGATGAGCTCGCGCGGCGTCGCGGCGGCGTCGCGGTGGACGCGCAGGCGGTGGACGGCGACCAGGGCTTCAATCCGGACACGGAGATCTCATCCTACGACCAGGACTTCGGCCGCGAGGGCCCGTACCCGTACCAGCAGTGCTCCTCGCTCCCGGGCGAGATCGAGGACGGAGAGCAGCGCGGGGAGAACGACGCGATCGTCCGCACCGCGCGCTGCATCCCGATCGAGGCTGGCGAGCTCGAGTTCTGCGGCGACGTCGAGTACGACGCGTGCATGCGCGTCATCTCGCCGATACAGGCGCGTTCTATACACTGGTCCCCATACGACCCCGTTCGCGAGGAGGACGCCGATCCTTAAGGACTTTGCCCGGCGCATCTCTCCGCCCACACCTCGCTTTCAATCCCCGCCCGCGTTGCCTTTCAACTCCATCTGACGCCTTTCAACTCCACCCCGACGTTCGCATTTGCATGCGCGTCATCTCGCCGATACAGTACGACGAGGAGCTCGCGCTCGCGCACGATAAGCGCATCGCGCTGCAGATGTTGGAGTTCCCATCGCTGGCGTCTCCGAAGTGCGTCGCCGCGTTCGCGTCGTACTTCTGCTACCTCGGCTTCCCGCAGTGCGAGGAGGACCTGGACAACCCGGGTACGTTCATCGAGTTGCCGCTGTGCTTCGACTACTGCGTCGCGTCGCACCAGGCCTGCATCGGGGACATGGAGAAGTCGATCGCGGCGTGCGATAAGGCGGTGTTCACGGGGAGGGTGGCGCCGAACCGGCCGGACGTGACGTGCGTCGCCGCGGGGATGAGGGTCACGGTCGGGTTGTTGTGCGCGGCGATGACGGCGTTGAGTCTGATCTTCGGACACAGAGGCGGCGAAGAGGAACGGCGGTACGCGTACGAGTACTTGGGGGGGTGAAGCGCGTCGCGTCGCCGTCGCGCGACGCGACGCGACGGACGGCGGCGACAGCGCGCGAGGTTAGCTCTGCGTTCGTCGTCGGTCGGTCGTCTTACAAATCAAATGGTAGTCAGTCGTTCAAACGAAAAGCTCGTCCGCCGTCAGGTCGTCTCCGTTCCCGCGTCTCGTTCGCGTCGTCCGCAGGTCGTCGTACGGTACGGTACCCTTCATCAATCACCGCCGCCGCTGCGCGTGGAGTTTCTGCGCGCGCGTCACCGACGCCGCGATGTTCTTCAGCGACACCGTCAGCCCCTGGTTCACCTCGCAGCACTTGTCCCACACCCACTGCGCCTCCTCTTTCATGTCCAGCCTTAGAAACACCTCGAACAGCCACGGCGCGGCGCGACATTCGTTCTCGTCGTGCGCCATCGCGTCGGTGAGCGGCGCCACCGCCGCCTTGAGGTGCCCCTGCCGCCACAAGATCCCGCCGTGGACCATGAGCAGCAGCGACTCCGTGGGATACCTCGCCGCGTGCCTCGCCGCGGTCTGCCGCGCGGCGGTCCAGTTCCCGGCGTCGCCCGCCATGGCCATGACGAGCTGAGCGTCGTTCCAACATTCAAAGCGACGTCGGGGTGGAGTTGAAAGGCGTCAGTTGAAGTCGAAAGGATGGCGTCGCGGTGTGTCTTTCGGGATTGAAACCGAGGGACCCTGGGAGGAGAGATGCGCTCGCGGCAAAAGTCCTCAAGAAACGCTCGCGGCAAAAGTCCTCAAGAAACGGCGTTCACCACGCCGACGCGGTCGTACGGGGCCCGGCGTGAATAGGAGAACGAACGCGCCTGAAACACCAAGCCCACCGCGCCGGACGCGTCCGACGACGCGCCGATCGCCTTCGTCGGCAGCGGCCGCGCGTGGCCGTACGCGCCGCTCTGCGCTGTTCCGCCCGAACCGCCGCCCAAGATTTGCCCGGTCGAGTCGCCGTGCTCAGAGACGCGCCCGTGCGACGCCGCGCCCGGACCCCCCGCGGCGCTCACGCGGTCGTCCTGTCGGGGTGGAGTTGAAAGGCGTCAGATGGAGTTGAAAGGCGCCGAGGGCGGGTATTGAAAGCGAGGGTTGGGCGTAGAGAGACGGCGGCAAAAGTCCTTAAGGAACGGCGTCCACCACGCCAACGCGGTCGTATGGGAACCAGTGTATAGAACGCACCTCTTCCTGCTCCTCCGCGTGTTTGCCCATCAGCGAAGCCGCCTCCGATCGGCCTGTCATCTTGTAGCAGTACTCCAAGATGCGGTAGCTCCACGCGTCCTTCGCGCCCTCCGATAGGTCGTGCACGACGCGCTCCGCGAAGTCGTAGTTTTTCTCCTCGAGCGCGGCGAGGCACACGGCGAACCGCTGCCGCGTCAGCGTGTCGCGCGTCATGTGCGACGCGAGCAACCGAAGGATCCACGACGTCGGCCGACCCCCGACGAAGACGTCCGAGATGGGCGGCTCCGCGAACGACGCCGCCGCCGTGGGCGGGTTCGAGGGCGTCGACCGAGCCCCGACCGATGCGTGACCGTGCCCGACCGCGGTGGTCTCCGTCTCTTCGCTGCTTCCGCCGCCGCCGGAGATTCGCCGCCGGTGAGCGGGTTCGGGTTCTTCTTCTTCTTCGTTCGTCGGCGGCGCCGCCGCTCGCGAGGAGGGCGCGGGCGCGGACGGCGGCGGCGCGATCGCGCGCTGCTGCTGCTGCTGTTGCTGCTGCGCGACGCCGTTGCCGGTGCCGCGGGCGCCGCCGTCGGCCGTCTTCTCCTTCTCCTTGTCGGTCCCCCACTCGCCCTCCTTGATCCGTTTCGCGATCGAAGCGGCGGCTTTCTTGAGCTGATCCATGCGCTCCTTGCCGAGCATCGCCTCCGCCGTCGCGGTGGCGCGGCGTTCGCGTTCTCCAGGAGACGCCGCCGTCGCCGCCTCCGCCGGCGTCGGCCGCGCGCCGCCGCCTCCGCCGCCTCCGTCGTTCCCCTCCTCCAGAAGCGACACCCTCTGAAGCGACGTCGTCTTGTGCTTCCGTCGCTTGGGCAGCCCGAGGTCGCCGCGCGACGCCGCGAGAAGAATCGCCGCCGCCGCGTCCTCGAGACGCGGGCGGCCGCGCTTCTTCCGCGGGAGGTTCTCGTCGTCGTCGTCCCACCCGGACGCGGTCGCGGACTGCAGGAGCTCCTCTTCGACGCTGTACGTCGGCGGCGCGGCGGGGGCGGCGGCGGTCTTCTTCTTCGTCGTCGCCGACTTCGCCGCCGCCGCCCTCGACGAAGCCTTCGACGCCGCCGCCGCGGGCGGTCGTCGCGCCGCGCCGCCGCCGCCGCCGCCGCCGCCGCCGCTCCGCGGTTTCTTCGGGACGACCACCGGCGGGCGCGCCGCCGCCGCCGCCTTCTTCGCCGCCGCCGCTTTGGCGGCAGCCTCGGCTCTGAGCCGCGCGTCCCTCTCGACGCTCTCGCGGAATTTTTTCGGCAACGGGTCGGAGCACTTTTCGAGGTCGAACGTCCCGGGATCGTCCTCCTTGTCCGTGAACTCCAGCAAACCCTTCGCGATGAGCTCGTCGAACTTGTACGGGATCGTGTCCGAGGAGAACTGCGATGCGATGCGGGGCGATGCGGGGGAGGACGCGTGAGCGCGGCGGGGCGCGATCGACGATCGCGCGCGCGAGATCGTTCGTTCGAAATACAGGCTAAGCAGAAAAGAAGGGAAGAGAAGAAGGGGGTGGAACACCGCCCGTCCTCGGTCCACCGATCGCGCGACGCACCTTCGATCGCTTGCGCTTCTGCTTCCTCGCGAGCTCGACGCGCTCGAACATCCCCCACTGGAGCTGGTACCCCCCGTTCGGTCGCTCCACGCGTCGCATCACGCCGTCGCCGTAGTAGTCCTCCAGATGCCAGTCCGTGAACGCGAAGCACACGACCGCGTGCGACCACGGCTCGGACGCGCTGTGCCTGACCTTGACGAGGCGACCGACGTGAGACGGGGTGTCGTCCGGGTCGAACGGGACCTCCATGTCGGGGTCGTCCGGGTCCTCGACGTCGACGCGCATCGCTCTCCGCGCGCGGCGCGAGGCGATACCGCGGCGGCGGGGCGGTTTGTTCGTTCAACTTCTCGTCGTCCATTTTTATTCTGTTTTTATTTGTCGTGTACGTACCTGGTACGTACGCGTGCTCGCCTCACCAAAATCTCATACGATCCGGCGTACAGTACGTTGTACTTAAAGTACTTTCGTACGAAGGTACAAAAGTTCGCACAGCTGTGTGCCGAGTGCAACGGCACGGTCGCGCGGTCGGCGACCCCGATAACCCAGGGCGGTGTCTGGGGTCACTTCATTAATTCACGGCACCACCGGCGCACGCGGGAGGTCTCGTCCGTCATGGACGATTCCCTCGCCGCGCTCGCGCTCGGGTCGCCGTCGAAGCCGCGACGGACCCTGAACCCGAGGGAGACGAAGACCGCGGCGGCGCGGAACCCGCGCGCGATGCCGACGAAGGGCACGCACGTTCGATTCTCGGCTTCGTCGGAATCTGACTGCGATTCGAGCGGGGACGACGACGAGCGGTCGGGGCACGACGCGCGCGCGCGCGCGAACGCGAACGCGTCGTCGTCCTCGGACGATCCCGTCCCGACGCCGACGCCGCACACGCCGTCGCCCGCGGCGACGGCGAACGCGAACGCCGACGCCGACGGCGACGGCGAGAATCGAGAGGAGGAGGGAATTCCGAGACCACCCCGTCCGACGACGACGGAACCAGCGCGCACGTCCGCGAGCGGCATGCGCGCGTGGCTCAACGAGCTCAAAGACCTCAGGCGCGCGTTAAAGAAGGACAGGATCAACGACGAGCGCGCGCGACGCGCGACGGACGACGCGATAACGGTCCACCTCGCGCGCGCGGACGAGGTGCTCCGAGAGATGATCGATCGACGGAATCGCCTCCAAAACGAGGCGTCGTCGGCGGCGGCGGCGAGAGGCGGCGACCACGAGATGCGACGTTTGCAGCTCTTCGACGCGGACGCGTTCGTGATCTTGTCCGAGATCTTGGAGTACCAGACGCGCAAGTTTTTCGACCCGCTCTGCGTCGTGTCCGCGGGGATGGTGGCGAGATACGTCGCGGCGAAATTTCCAGGAAACGCCCCCCAACGCGGCGGCGACGTCCTGGGAGACGCGAGAGAAGACGTGGACTGGGACGCCATGGGCGCGAAGCTCTGGAACATCGGCGCGCACTTGGGCGGCGGCGTGCGGTTGCGCGCGCTCGGGAACTCCATGGTCGGGAGCGGGGCCTTCGCGGGCGGCGTCGATCGTCGAATCGCGGAGGAGAGAGGTCCCGGAGGCAAAGTCGGCAGGGTCGGCGGCGGCGGCGGGTGGCGGACGAACGACCACGACCGCGGCCGCGCGAGGAACAAGAAAGGCGCGACCGCGCCCGTGTCGCGGCCGGCGACGTTGAAGAACGCCGCGGACGCGACGGAGGGTCAGCCCGGGGGCGCGCGAAGCGAGGCGAACGAGCGGCTGGAGAGACTCGCGAGGACGCTAGAGACGGACGGCGCCGCGGATCTCGCGAAGCACTTCTTCGACGCGACGTCGTTCTCGAAGAGCGTGGAGAAACTTCTCGACGTCGCGACGCTCGTCGCGGGCGGCAACGCGGCGATCGCGCCCGTCCACGAGAAGGAGGAGGGGGAGGGGGGGGAGGACGACGACGAGGACGAGGGCGAGGACGACGCCGGCGCTCGACTGAAGACCGGGTGCGAGCTGTCCATCGCGGAGGCGACGCCGCGGCTCGACGACAACCCGGACGACAACCACGCGTTCGTGTTCCAGTTCGACCTCAAGACGTGGCGCGCGATGGGCGGCTGCGAGGACGACGACGCGAACCGCGACGCCGACGCCGCCGCCGCCGACGGCGGCGGCGCGAAGAAATCGAAGTACTACGGCAACGGCCTCTTCGGCGGCGGACTCCCGGAAGACGCGTACGTCATGCCCGTGAACGCGGACCCGTACGAAGCCATGCTCGACGGTGACCCCGCGCGATCGCGCGCCGCGCTCGATACGCTGCGCCTCAGCGACCGCGACCGCGTCGTGTGCGCCGGCATCGCGTACATTTACCGCGAGGCGTTTCTCGGCGAGACGTTCTTCAGAGCCTGGGGCAGCGACGTCGTCGGCGTGTTCCACGCGTTCAGCGTCGCCGCGCCGGGCGGGCCGGTGAAGGAGCTCTCCACCAGAGCCGCTCGCGCGGTCGCGGATCATTGGCTGCAGTGCAACCACGAGATGCCCGTGGGCGCGACCTCCGAGGACGTCATATTTTTCAACCAAGGGAGCTTCGTGCTGTCTCGAATGGGGATAGAACACGGCGCGTTGAAGTCGCAGATCTTATCCCACGCCGTGCGATTCGACAGCCGGTGGTACTTGGGGCTGGACCTGAACGATCCGGCGACGTATCAGAACAATTGCGGCGACGCGTGCTGGAAGAAGCTCACGAACGCGCTCATATGTTCTTTCTTCCTCGAAGGGAACGGCGTGGAGCCGGAGATTCGCGGCGACACCGCGACGGACGTCAAGCGCCATTGCGAACGACGCGACGACGGAGAGATAAACGCCAGGGAGGAGTGGGACTACGGCGATCGCGACGCGCGGGAATCGCCCGAATTCGAGGCGCAGTGTTACTTCGTCACGCACAAGGTGTTCACCGCGACGGATTGGTGCCGGAGGAAGTTGAAACCGGAGCAGTGGCGCCGCGAGCGAGATTTTTTACTTCGTCACCTGACGCACACGTGGAAGGTCATGCGAGACGTCCACCTGTGCGGCGAGTTCGTCCAGACGCTTCGGTGTTTCGGCGACAAGGAGAGCAACAACGCGGAAATCAAGGCTGCGGTGGCGTTCATCGTGAGATCCCAAGACCAGAGCACGGGCGGGTGGGAGGTTCGAGCGGCGGATTTCAAAAACGCCTACCACGCCACCGTGTGCGCCGTCGGCGCGCTCATCTGCCCGCTCATGGGCGACGCGGCGGATAAGGTGACCCCTCTCGAGGCGGACGTCGACCGCGGGAGCAAGCGGCAGCGCGCCGCCGCCGCGGCGAGAGCGAAGGAAGCCGCGGATAAGCGGGCGACGTCGCGCGGCGCGGAGAAGGACCCCCCCGCGCGAGCGACGACGTACTCGTGGGAGTCGGGCGCCGACGAGACGGCGACGAGAGACGTCGAGCCGCCGCGGAAGCGACGCGGACGGCCGATCGAGAGCGAACGAACGAACGAGACGAACGAACGGAACGCAACCCTAGACTAGCATCGCATCAACGCGTCGACGGCGTGATAATGGACTACCTACTACGAATAATAAATCAATCTATCGTTAACCTCAACTCGCGACGGTGACGAGCGCGAACAGCGCGGCGACGACGGCGACGCGCGCCGCCTCCGCCGGCGCGACCCCCCACCGTCGCCCGCTCGCGCCCGTGCACCGAAGCTCGTCCGCCTCGAACACCGGCGTCCCCTCCGCGCCCCCCGGCTTGTTCGGATTCCGAATGTAATTCCCGTTCGCGTCGTTCCACTCCTCGGGATAGTGCCCTTCCAGCTCCTCCACCTCTTGTGTGCAGTCCATGAATTGCGGTTTGCCGCACGCGTACCTCGCCGCCTCGCACGTCGTCTGAGCGTCGACGGTCGTTCCGTTGAAAGGCGTCAGAAGTGGAGTCGAAAGGCGTGGTGGGCGGCGTGTCTTTCGAGATTGAAAGCGAGGAGTGGGCGGAGAGACGCGCCGGCAAACGTCCTTAAGGAACGGCGTTCACCACGCGAACGCGGTCGTATGGGAACCAGTGTGGTAACAGAACGCGCCTGACACACGGGAAAAAACTCCGTCTCGTCCGTGTTGCACCGGTTGAAGAACTCGTAGCACATCCACTTCCGCAGGATCGTCTTGCACTCCTCCCCCGCTTTCGGCACGCGCCGCACGAGACTCATGTACGCGGCGATGGCGCCGCTCTCCATGTTCAGGATCGACGTCTCCGTCGGCCCCGCGAGCGTGCGATTGCAAAACAGGTAATCCACGGGCGCGGCGCACCACACGAGGAGGACGCCGAGCGCCTCCGGGTCCACGCACCCGCCGCGGCAGATGAGCCTCGGGTTGAGCTCCTCCTCCACCACCTTGTCGCCGTACAGCCATAGGTACGGGTTGTTCGCGCCCGCGAACGTCGTCCCGTTGGTCTCGTTCGATCGGCGCGCCGCGTCGTCGACGAGGTCTTGGTACCGCGCGCCGGTCACGTCGGAGACGGATCCGGGGAAGCCCTCCATGCCCGCGTACGGGTCCGGGCCGGCGTCCGTCGCGCCGCCGTCGCCGCCGCCGCCGCCCGGGGGCGACGCGCCGGTTGACGTTCCGTCTTCCCCCGCGGGGGGGGCGGGCGACGCGGCCGGGGGGGGATCGGGCGTGGACGTCGGCGGGCCCGACAGCTGCGCGACGACGAGCGTCGGCGTCGCGGCGAGCAGCGCGACGAGGAGGAGGAGGAGGAGGAGGAGCGCGCGCGGCGCGCGCCATCGCGGGGGGCGCCGGCGTTGGCGCCGGCTCCACCGGACGATCATCGTGGAGCCGCGGTGTGACGGGACGAGCGAGCAGCCCGCGGCCTCGTTCACGAATCTGAATGTTGATGAAACAGAAAAAAAACGCCGCGAGTTTTCGTCAGGTTTTCGTCTTTCTGTTTCTGTTTGGCGGAGAGCGGCGGAGGCCTCGGACGCGTTGGCTTAAATAGGCTAGTACCTACTCGTCCCGCATCTTCGCCCACTTGTTCGTCCTCTTCGCCTCCTTCTTCCCGCGACGACGCTCCCACTTCGTCAACTTCTTCTTCTTCGGCGCGTTCCCGGAGCCCTTGGGGGGCACGGCGTCCGGATCGTGCTCCTCGTCCTCGTCGTCGTCGTCTTCGAACTCGGACTCGCCGTCGTCGTCCTCCTCCGCGGCTTCCGCGGCTTCCGCGGCTTCCGCGGCTTCCGCGGCTTCCGCGGCTTCCGCTTCCGCTCTCGCCCTCGCGCCGTCCGCCTCCGCCTCTTCCCTCGCCTCCTCCGCCGCCGAAGCCGAAGCCGCCTCCGCCTCTTCCCTCGCCCTCGCCTCCTCCGCCCTCGCCGGCGACGTCGCGTAGTCGATGATCCCCGCGGCGTCCTCCGGGACGATGGACGGCGGCGCGGGGGGGGTGTCGTCGCTCCATATCACCCGCGGGTCCTCGTGCGGGACGCCGCCGGATAAGTACGGCGATCGCTGCGGCGGGTGCATGTTTCTCCTCGTCGCGTCCGGGTCCCACGCGGTCGGCCGCGCGGGAGGAGGAGGAGGAGGAGGAGGCGGCTCGACTTCTTCTTCGACTTCGTCGTCCTCGTCCGCGGAGGGCAGCTCCAGCTCTTCCGCCGCGCGGTTCACCGCGTCCCACGCCCGCCGCGCGTTCTCCTCGTCCTCCGGAACGGGCTCCTTCCCGCCCGCTCTCGGCGAAGACGGCGGCGGCGGCGGCGGCGGCGGCGGTGACTTCCACTTGCTCGGCGGAAGGTACGGATCGAACCCGGAGCTGCCGACGACGCCGCGCGGATCCTTCACCTTCTCCTCCGGCGTCCAGTTCGACGCGATGTCCATCCTCGGGTCCCTCGTCGTCTCGACCGCGTCGCCGTCGCCGTCGCCGTCGCCCGAGGACGTTGCGGTGTCCATGTGACGCTCCTCCGCGGATCTCAACGCGCCGCGCACGCGTTCTCGGAACTTGTTTTCCCGTTGGATGCCCCTCGCCTCTTTCCGCGTGCGGTCGTCCTCCTCGTCGCAGCTCCCGTCGATCGGGTCGCAGTCGTCGCGAGAGTTGTACTCCGACGTCTTCGCGGACGCTTTCGCGACTCTCCGCGCGAAGTTGAGCTCCTCCGCGAATCGCTCGTACGCGTCGATGGGCGCCGGCGTTCGAAGTTCGTGTTCGTCCGCGGTGAGCGTCCAGAGCTCGTGGTCGCCTTGGCTGATTTCAAAGTCGTCATCCTCCGCGTCCGCGTCCAGCTCCGCGTCCATCTCGTCCAGGAACTCCTCCGCGCGCGCGGCGAGGTCTTCGCGCCTCTCTTCCTCGGTGTCGGCGTCCTCCTCGTCGAACGACGACGGCTCGTCGAACGACCCGGAGCCGGAGCCGGAGCCGAGGCTTTCCTCGACGAATTCCTTCGCCGCGAAATTTTCTTCTTCTTCTTCGTCCTCCTCCTCCTCCTCCGCGGAGTCCTTCGCGTTGAGCAAAGCCTCCGTCGCGGCGTTCACGTCCGCGTTCTCGTCCTTGATCTCGTAGTCGTCGTCGTCGAAATAAAACGCGGGATCGGGCTCGGGGGTCTCGAGGTAGGACGGCCACGCGCTGCGCGCGGGCCAGTCCATCTTTCCGGGCCACGGCGACGCGATCGGTGTCCCGGGCCACTCGCTCGCCGCCGCCGCCGCCGCGTCGGCGCGCGCCTTCTCTTCCTCTTCCTCGTCCGCGTCCTCGTCCGCGTCCACGTCCGCGCCCGCCTTCGCGCGCTCTTCCTTCTCCTCCGCCTCGGCCGCGGCTTCTGCTCTCTCGACGACGGCGTCGATCGCGTCGGAGACGAGAGCTTTAGCGGCGGCGGCGACGGCGGCGGCTGCTTCCGCCTCCGCCGCGGCTTTTTCCTCTTCGGCTTTCGCCTTGGCCGCCGCCTCCGCCTCGGCCGCCTCCGCCGCCGCTCTCGCCTTGGCTTGGGCCTCCGCCTTCGCTCGCGCTTCCGCTTCGACCGCCGCGCGTTTCGCGTCGGCTTCAGCCTCCTCGCGAGCCTTGCGTTCTGCTTCTTCAGCCTCCTCGCGAGCCTTACGTTCGGCCTCTTCAGCCTCCTCGCGAGCCTTGCGTTCGGCCTCTTCGGCCTCGGCCCTGGCCACGGCCTCCTCCTCCTCGCGGGCCCTGCGTTCGGCTTCTTCGGCCTCGGCCCTCGCCCTGGCTTCTTCCGCCGCAGCCGCCGCCTCCGCCTCCGCCCTCGCGCTCGCCTCCGCCTCGGCCTCGGCGGCTTCGGCTTCAGCCTTCGCTTTCGCTTCGGCGTTCGCTCGCACCGCGTCCGCGTCCGCGTCCGCGTCCGCGTCGGCAGACGGCGCGTCCTCTTGGCGCGGCTTCGGCTTGACCCACCCTTCGCCTCTCTGCGCCGCGGCGTAGTCGCTCTCGACGACGTCGCCGTCGCTCATCGCGGCGAAACGTCCCTTCTTCTTCGGTTTCGGTTTCGGCGGCGAGGGGGTTTCCTCCTCCGCGGTTTCGGTATCTTCCTCCCCCTTCGCGTCGGCCGCGGCGGCGTCGGCGGCGGCTTTCGCGGCTTCCGCGGCTTCGGCTCTCTCCGCCGCGGCCGCCGCTGCCGCCGCCGCCTCCGCGGCTTCCTTCGCTCGCGCCTCGACCATCTCGCGCATCGCCGCCTCCTCCGCCTCGGCTTCCGCGCGCGCGTCCTCCATGGCCTTATCCGCCAGAGCCTCCGCGGCGGCGATCCGCCGCGCCATCGGCGGACGCGCGGGACCGGGGGCCTCGATGAGCTCTGGGCGCGACGAAGCGACCGTCGTCGCCGGTGGTTCCTGATCTCGTTCCGGTTCAGGTTCAGGTTCCGGTTCGGGTTCCGGCACGGGCTCGGGCTCGGGTTCGGGCTCGGGCTCGGGCTCGGGCTCGGGCTCCGGCTCGGGCTCGAACGCCGTCGGCGCGTACTCCGGCCACGACTCCGCCCTGACGGCCTCGGACCCGTCCTCGTCGAACTGCATGTCGCGAGACGCGTCGTCGAGCTCGTCGTCGTCGTCCATCGACGCCATGATCGCGTCCGCCTCCGCTTTCGCGCGCGCGACGCGTTCGTAAAAGTCCTCCGCCTCCGCCTTGGCCTTCGCGGCGGCGGCTTTCAATCGCGCGGCGGCTTCCGCGGCTTCGGCTTTCTCCTTCTCGAACGCGCGCTCTTGCTCCTCCCACCGCCGCTTCGCCTCCGCCGCGCGCGCGTCTTCCTCCGCGCGCGCCGCGGCGCGCCTCTCTTCAGCCTCCGCATCCGCTCTCGCCGCGGCGCGCCTCTCTTCCGCTTCCGCTTCTTCTCTCGCCGCGGCGCGCCTCTCTTCCGCTTCCGCCTCTTCTCTCGCGCGGCGATCGGAATCGGAATCGGAATCGTCGTCGTCGTCGTCCGCGGCGGCGGCCATCGCCTCGAGCTGGGCTTCGAACGCCGCGGCCGCCGCGCGCTGCGCCGCGAGGGATTCCCCGAGTGATGCGGCGGCGTCGGGCTCGGGCTCGGGCTCGATCTCCGCCTCCGCGCGCGTCTTTCGCACGCCGCCGAGCGTGGGGACGTTATCAGACCCGTCGAAGGCGTCGGGCTCGGGCTCAGGCTCGGGCGGCGGCGTCATCTCTTCGCCAAACAGATCCACGACGGGCTCGGGCTCGGCCTCCTCGGGCGTGGACGCCTCATCGACGTGCTGTCGTTCTTCTTCTTCCTCCGCCTCCGCCTCCGCCTCCGCCGCGTCGCCCTTCTCGTCGTCGTAAAACGTAAACGTCGGCGTCATCGCGGCTTCCATCCTCGCGAGCGACACGCGCTCTTCGAACGTGAGCTTCTTCTCGGGGATCGCGCGCAGACGCGCGAGCTCTTCCATCGCGGGGTCCGCGGACGCCGCGGTGGGCTCGGGCTCGGGCTCGGGCTCGGGCTCGGGCTCGGGTTCAGGTTCGAGCTCCGGTTCAGGTTCGAGCTCCGGTTCAGGCTCGGGCTCGGGCTCGGGCTCGGGCTCCGGCTCGGGTTCTTCTTCGACCTCAGGCGCCGCGCCGCGGACGTCCTCCATCCGCGTCTTCGCCAGCGCCGCCTCCGCGCGCTCCCTCAGCGCGTTCGCCTCCTCATCTTCGCTCTTCCGCGCCGCAGCCGCGCGCGCGGCTTCTTCGCGCGCCGCCGCGTCGCGCGCGCGTTGCTCCTCGCGCAGACGTAATCCATCCGCTCGCGCTCGCAACGCGCGCGCCGCCTCCTCCGCCGCCGCCTCCTCCGCGCTCGCCTCGCGCAAGAGTCGCTCCTTCTCGCGACGCAGCTCGAGCTTCGCGACGCGCGCCTCTTCTTGTTCTCTCAGCACCCGCACGCGCTCCGCCTGCTCGACCGCGCGGGCTTCGCGTCGGCGCTCAACCTCCGCCTCCGCTTCCTCGCGACGCGCGACGTCGGTTTCGTCGTCGCGAACGCCGCCCGCGCCGCCGGTTCGATCCCCGCCGGCGCCGCCGCCCGTCTTGCGACCGCGCTGCACCCTCGAGAACACGCTCGAGACCTCCGCGGGCGCGGCAGCGTCCGCGGGCTTCGGCTTCGCCCTCGGGATCCCGCTCGCGAACCCGGCGCGTCGTTCGTCAAGGTCCTCGTTCGATGTTGCGATGTTGCGGCGCGCGTCGTCAAACGTCCGACGCGCGTTCTCCGCGAAGGACCCGCCGCCGCGGCTCGGCGGCGGGACGGAGAGCCTCGACGTCTCGGGGGGCGGGGCCGAGACGGCGGCGGCGGGCGGCGGCGGCGGCGTCGGCGTCGGAGGCGGGTCCTCCGTGTTTGCTGCCGCGATGTTGGAGGAACCGCCGAAGGAACCGCCGATCCCGCCGCCGCCGCCGATGTGATACGCGGCTTCAAACGCCGCGCGCTTCGCGTCCTCCGCCGTCTGCGTCATCTTCCCTGTCGCCCTCTCCGCGGCGTCGTGCGCGGTCTGCCCCGCGCGGCGCGCGACGCGCTCGAGCGTGGACGTCCCTTCCGTGAAAGAGTCCGCGGCGAACGACCGCGCTTGGGCGAAGCCGCCTCCGAAGCCGCCTCCGAAGCCGGAGCCGCCGTATCCGCCGTATCCGTCGTCCCGCTTCCCTCCGCGCGCGGGCGGGTTGCCCAGCAGCGCGCTCGGCCGCGACGTCTTCCTCTCGTTCGCGTTGTTCGCGTTCGCGCGCGCGGCCCTGACGCCCGCGACGGCGACCAGAGCGCCGAGCGCGAGCGCGACGGCGTTGTCGCCCGACGACGACGGAAGCTTCGGCGCCGGCGCCGCCGACGCGTAGTACCCCGCGCCCGCGCCCGCGCCGCCGTATCCCCCCGACGCCTCGCGGTACAGATCCCTCGCGCTCGGGCGCGGCGGAAGTGCGCGTTGTTCCGCGTCGTCCCGCTCCCGCCGCGCGCGCTCGCGCTCGCGCTCTCGCGCCTCCTCCGCGGACGTCGACTGCCGAGCCTGCACCTGCGCGCTCCTCGCGAACGTCTCTCTGCTCGCGGCTCCAAAGTACCCGCTCCTCGGGAGCCCGTTCGCTTCCTGCCATCTGGCCACCTTCTTCGACGTGCGCTGGTCGTACACCCCCGTGGACGGCAGCCCGAACGCTTCCTGGAGCATGCCGACGTCGGTGCCGGCGTCGCCGAGGCCCATGTCTCGCGTGGGCAGCCACATCGTCGTGACGACCTCGTCGTAGTCCTCGAACGGACAGACGCGCGCGTCGTCGTTCGGGAGGTCGTCCCCGGACAGCGGCTGAGGAGGAGGATGAGGAGATGGAGGAGGAGGATCAGAAGGGGGACGGGGGCGTCGCGCGCGTCGGGGGAGGGAACGCGCGAGCGTCGAAGGTTTGAACGAGCGAGCGACGACGGAGAGGTCGAGGACGAGGACGAACGGGCGGGGACGCACCGAGACCCCGGGCCCGCGCGCGGCGGCCGCGTCGACGACCGCGCGGCGTCGCGGCCGCGGCGCCGCGACGACGCGCGCGCGTCGAGGCGACGACGACGCGCCGCGCGATGGCGGCGCGAAGCGCGAGGGAGCCCCCAGCGGCGTCGCCGACGCGCGAGACCCCATCGTGATGTCACCGCGCGCTCCGCGTGCCAACTACGAACTTGAGTTCGCACCCCCTTTTTTGATCCGGGAAGATCGACGCCGCGAGTCGCCGCGCGCCGCCCGCGACGCGACGCGACGCGACGCGACGCGACGCTCCGACGCCTCGCGACCGGCGGGGATGCCGCGTCGACGCTCTCGCGCGCGCGTGAAGTGGCGCGTCGCGCGGCGCGACAGACGGCGACGACGAGACGCGGCGTTATCGATCGATCGACCCGCCACCTCAGCCGACCGCGCGATTCGAAATCCGGCCGAGCTGAAGTCGCGCGCGAGCCCCCGCCCGTCCGGCCGCATCGGTCAAATCTCGTCGCCCCCCCCCCCCCGCACCCCCGGCGGCGACCATACCATGAGCGCGGCCGCGACGGCGACGGCCGCGACGTCCGCGACGTCCGCGCTCATGGCCGCGCCGGACATGATGGACGACGCGTACCTGTCCGATCTCCTCTCGTACTCCCTCGAGCGCCTCGACGCGGAGCCGGAAAAGCTCGACGCCGACGCGTCGCGCGCGACCGAGAGCGAGCGACGCGTCGCGTGCGAGGAGTACCGCGCGTTCGTCGCGTCCGCGGACTGCTACGCGACGGTCCGCGGTGAAATACGCGCGATCGGCGACCGCCTGGACGCGATGCGCGACGCGCTGCCGACGCTCCGCGCGGGGTGCGAGGCGTTCGCGGCCGAGGCAGAGTCCATCGCGCGCAGTCGCGCGCTCGTCCGCGCGACCGCGAATCATCAGAGCGCTTTACTCGACGTGCTCGAAGCGCCGACGCTGCAGGACGCGTGCGCGCGGCACGGCAACTACGACGAGGCGCTCGACCTCGAAAACTTCGTTCGCAAGCTCGCGAGCGCGCACGCGGACGTCGTCGCGGTCGTGAAGACGCTCGCGGAGAACGCCGCGGAGGCGTCTTCCGCGATGCGCGCGAAACTCGTCGATCGCCTCCGCGGCGCCGCGCAGCTCCCGGAGTGTCTCCGCGTCGTCGGGTACCTGCGCCGCATGTGCGCGTACGAAGAGGACGAGCTGCGCGACGTGTTTCTGCGCGCGAGGGAGGCGCACATCGCGGACGCGGTGGACGAGCTCGAGACGAGTGGGTCGCCGTACGAGTACGTCAAGCGGTTGACGGACGCGCACCGCGTGCACTGCTTCGACGTCGTCATGCAGTACCGCGCCATCTTCGCGGACGACGACGACGCCGACGACCATGTTGGTAACGGCACGGGATCGGGCGTTTCTTCTTCTTTTTCTTCACTCTCGATCGGTGGCCGATCGCGCGGCGGCGGCGGCGGCGGCGACGGCGGGCTGCTCTACTCCTGGAGCGCGCATCGAATCGCGTCGTACCTTCGCGCGCTGGAATCAACGCTTCCGAAGATCGACGAAGGCGGCGCGCTCGCGAGCGTGCACGAACACTGCGCGTACTGCGGCGCGTCTCTCGCGCGCGTCGGGTTGGACTTCCGCGCGTCGCTGCCGCCGATGTTCTCGGACGCGGCGATGGGGATATACCGCCGGCGGCTAGACGACGCGGTGGGCGATTTCGAAAAGGTGACGGAGCAGCACCGGTGGGCGGCGGCGGCGGCGGTCGGCGCGGGCACGGGCGCGCGCGACGCCGGCGACGCGGCCTCAGCCGGCGACGCGTCCTCCTCCGCGCCGCCGTACGCGCTCCTCGAGCACGTCCCCGTCGCGGCGTTCACGAACGGCGTCCTCGCGGCGCTGAACGAACTGCGGCACTGCGCGGCGCCGTCGCTGCGGACGCGCGCGGCGGAGGCGACGCGCGACGCGATTCGAGCCGCGGCGGACGCGATGGCGAGGACGGATGCGAGCGGTAGGGGACGAGAGACGCTGACTCGAGGGAGCGGGCAGAGAGCCGCGTTCGTCGGCGCGTGCGACGCGCTGACGGACGTCGCGGCGCCGTATTTGGCGGGGTGCTTCGGGAGGTTGTTCAAGGGAGGGGAGAGGATGGTGGACGCGCGGGGGGCGTGCGAGGAGTTGCGACTCGCGTTGCGACGACGCGCGAACGAGTGACGATCGATGAGCGAAGGCTTGGACGCGACGCTCCTTCCGTGTGATAGAAAAGAAAAGGAGCGTAAAGGGCCTTGTACGTCGTCCGTCGTCAATACAACGGCGATCGGCTCCCGCCCGCGCCGCCGTACCCCCCGCCCCGCGACCCCCTCTGTCCTCCAAAGTACGCCCCGCCGCCGTCGTGCGCGTGTCGCATCGGCGACCGTTGCCGCTCGCGCTCCGCCATGGCCGCGCGTTCGCGCTTCAACACCGCGACGTCCCTGAGATCCTTCTTGAGCACCTCCGCGAGGTGCCGCGTCGCCTCCGCTTGCTCGGAGATGATCTTATCGTACGCCGCGGCCGCGGCGTCGTCCACGATCGGTCCGCCGCCTCCTCTGCCACCGCGATCGGGGGTGGTGGTGGTCGTCGTCGTCCTCCCCGCGCCGCCGTCGTCGCCCGCG